TAGAGTTCTATATGATTTAGGTTATAATCAAAATAAACCATGTGGAAAACAGAACATCTATACATAGTTAAAATAGTATGTTTAAGCAATATTATCTTTTTTTTTAAATTTATTTTTTTAACGTAATACTATTTAATAATAATTACTAATAAATTCAATAGTTTACACTACCGGATGTATTTACCGGAGAGAGTTCCTAAACTTTTAAACAACAAAATACGTTGAAACTTAAATTATCGAATGACGAACTACCCAACATTCACAATTTTTCTTTTTAATGTATAAAAATGTGTTTTTTTATGAAAATAATTGAATTTCGTATTAAATATTGCATTAAAAAGTAAACAACGATGTCGAAAGTCTAGACGATAAAAATATAACTAATTATAAGCATACAAGAGAGAGAAAATAGGGGTTTAGACAGGATTGACAGGTGAGATTTATTTAAATTTGATAATCGATATTTGGATTAAGAATGAGACATTAGTACGAGTGGGATACACAGGAACTTAACAGTTAACAAGAAACAGCAAACCGAACTTCATTGGAAAGACCATTAGAACGAATGGATAGATTTGGTACGAGCCTACAATCACTAGGCTACTGATGACAAATACTAGTTAAAATGGATTCTAGGAGACTAGGATATGTGGGTGTATGCCCCTAAGATAGGGTTGGGTAAATTTTTATATTAATTATTATTTCATTTTGTTTGTTAAAAACACTTTTTAACAAAAAATGTTTAAGTATATTTAGGGTGTAAAAAATTGTTTTTATTGTGGCTAGGAGTGCTATTAACAGATTAGTTATCACAACAAAATGGTATTTTTAAATTGTAAGTGTATTTTAAAAATTGTATACATCAATGATGTATAAAATATAATTGTATAATATGTAATATATTATACATTTACGTATAATACGCGCCAATCCTGCCTTAAGGTAAGCAAGGAATGCGCAGTGTGTAAAGCAGTCGAGCAAAGGAATTTTCTTTGTACTCTTTCGATCGTTGCACAAGTAGACCCTGTGAAAGGATCTCACAGGATACTGTCATACTATAGAATTCGAGCACAAGTGAAACCTTAAGGGGATACGATGCATAAAAACCAATAATTTAAAAGCCTTACATCACAGCACTCGGGCTAAGTTCGGTAAGACCTAATTCATAAAAGAAAAAGGAATTTTCGAGCAAAATTCTTGTAAAAATTAAAAATTTTAATGACAGTATCCACATTTTGTAAAATAAGCCAATAACCATGAATAAAATGTCGAAGCCCTAATGAATCATTGGAAGAAATGAAAAGCGAAATCCAATGATATAGCTTATTTAGTACTGTAAATGATTTGGAATGTATTATTTATAATTATAGATTTGTTTTTTATATAGTTAAGAGTGATATTATTTAAATTATTTAATTGTTATTAATGAAAATATTGACGAACAATGAAATGAACTCGTGAGCCATCATTAATTTATTGGCAGCTAAATGAATATTACTTACTATTGCTTACTAGTTATATTAATTATTATTACATTAGTGTCATGATAAATAATAAAGCTTATCCATAAGCTTGTATGGTCAGACTGTGCTAATCCGTTACTGCACTCTACTGTGAAATGTGTAATACTTGGTCTCGAAACCGCAACCGAGTACGACCCATTTATAAAACGACCAATAGGCGTTGTTTCACAGAACATAGCATAAACTCTGCGACCGGCGGACTATTGTCGGAGGCTTGTCCCAACCATACATGTACCTACACATTAATAATATATTACCGAGTCGCTAGCAGTTAACCCGTGTACTTGAAGCGTATTAACATAAACGGAGTAACTCTCCGGGTCCGATGAAAATAGTAAAAATATTGTGTGAAAACAAACTTGGCTAGTAGCAATAGTTCAAGTACAGACTACGGTGAAATTGTTAAGTAGTCGAAATAGCTGACTAATAACCAAGTAGTCGAACAGCTACTAGTGCTCGTATATATTATATTGTTTTATTATTGACGGATTCGTTGAAATAACGATACCCAATAATAGGTGTTCGTTGTTACATAAATAACGTGTAGAGCCCACGCTTGAATAATGTACACCGTGAACACTGAACATCACTTTACCTACCTACTTACAAGATCCGTATAATACCTTCGCGAACACACAGATAAGATTTAGATAGGCACGCACGCGTGGCCAACAAGTGTGTGTGGTGTGTGTGTGTGTGTTGCCCGCCCATACGATATACATATATGTATGATTCAATAATGAAAATTCCAGCCCGTACACTTGATATATTATGTATTCGCGAGTAAAGTGTAAACCAAGTTCTTAACGTGTTGCTGAGAAAGGTTTGATACGAGAGGAGAGTGTATTAAATTGAATAATTTCGTTGCATATTTTTCCGACCTGCTGACATATGTTATTAAACATTTACAGACGCACCGTTTCCATCAGTGTCAAAACGCGCACATCGTCGCAGTATGATTTATACGAAATATACCTACCCCCTCCTTCCCCCCTACCCTACCCTACCAGTTTTTAACGTAGACACGCTCGTCTCCCGTGATAATATAATTACGATTGATGTTGGAATTTTTTTTTTTTACCGTCTTAGCCGCGATATTTGAATATTACTATGTGTAAAAGAAAAAAAAAAATAATAATAATACATGCGAATTGTTGGTTGTTTGTTCTCGTTTTTTTGCTCGGTACAGACGAAATATAAATTTGGAAACCGAGGAAATTCACTTTTAAGTTGTTCCCTAACGATTCTCGACTCTCGCTATTACACTTTTACGATTTCCACTCGCTAATCGCTCTCCTCAGTACCATTATATGTATTATTATAATGGCTGTTGGCAAAAATAGTTTTCTCCCTTTATACCTGCCCGGCCGGCCCGTCCCTCTTTATTCTCCGTTGCTCTCGCGCGCACAAAACTGTACCTGAGGGAAATCAAAACTCCTTCCTGACAAAAACACGGTGTGCAAGTTTTAACGAATAGGCATTCCGTTCGTTACTGTCAAACCACAAACGCGAGTGTATTTTGTTAATAGCTGTTATTGATCTTATTCATACCAGCGGAACGGTTTGTTCTTTTTTGTTCGTCAATGAGAAGTTCTGATAAAAGCCCGAATTCGCATTAACAATATCTCTGGCTTTTGCGCTTTTTTTTTTCCCGTCCAATTATTGTCTGACCAAGATATTGCGCTAGACAAAAGTTTACCGAACCGTCTTTACTATATTATGAAATATACAATATATATATATATATATTATATTTCAATCATAAAGAATATTCAAAAACCCTTAACCGTAAAATAATACACTTTCCGCGTTTACGTAATTCGGCAACAGTGTTGTCATCTTCAGCGCTAACGACAGATTTCAACAATCACAATCATACAATTGTATATTATATGCAGAACCAATGAAATTAACTACTAAAGTATACAAAAAGGAATATTTGATTAAAATTAGAAAATTATTTAATTAAGTTTTGTCAACAATATAATGTTTTTTAGGCTTCGTTGTGAATCTGAAAAGGTATATAGGTGAATACAGAATAGGTATATTTGTATTTTGTTGATACGCTACGCACCCATATCTGTGGAAAGCTTGGCTTTCTCATCGGTACAGCCTATCCCTTAGAAAATAATGTATTATGCTATTGCGACGCTGTGAAAGTTTCAAAAGTTAAAAAGCCTATAAGGTTGCCTCCCTTAAAGTTGAAAGAACAAAAAAAGAAAAAAAGAGATAAATCTTTCAAGTGTCAATATTCTCACAATACACAGTTGGGGAATATAGCGGTATCTAGTAACTAGAAACTAGTCAACATGTTTTTCGACATTAGCTCTTAAGCATATCCTTAAAATTAAAAATCTTTTATCATCCGCATCGGCAGATTTATTTGCTTAATGTTCGCTACGACTTATGAGTTAGAACTGAACGTAGGTAAGTATTCATTACCTACTACAGTATGACTACAAATTGATATAGAGAGAAGATGACATTGTAAATAAGTATTTAAATAGGTACAATTTTAATGTAAATCAATAGTTAGATAGCTATATAGATAGGTGAATAGTTAGGTAGATAAATAAAAAGTCTGGTATGAGAAAAAACAAAATAACAAGAATGAGTTGTACGAATTTATTAAGGCTTAATTATTATGGCTAAAAATCAACATTTAAAAAATACTTGAGATCAATAAAATTAGACATATTGATTTATAATTGATTCATTTTTGTTGAGTTTTTATATGTATACAAGTCTGAAAATATCTTATAAGTTTCATAACAATATTTATCTCATAATAAAGTTTTTGGATGCAGTGCACGTATTTATAAGCTCATTGTTAAATGTAAAAAAGCTTGCTTGAAATTTTAATAATAATTCATTATAAAACTGTTGTGTACATTAACTATGGTTGATTTTCGATATAAATGAATTATATTATAATTTATTTATATTTCTCAACACAACCTAAATATTTTTTTTAATGCTCGAAAATTTTAATACATGTTTATAGTTCTTATAGTTCAAACGTAGGTGAATATTGTTAGGTTTAACATTTTGGGTTTTTTTTTCCCATTTATGACGGAACACTTAGGTGTTCTGAAGAGCCATTTAGGTATGCTAATTTGATTACCATAATAGTATTATTGGTATAATTACAATTAAAATAATCGTACGCACCTTGCCGCGCTTAAGCCACAGAGCATTGTAAAGTTTTGGCCATCTGGGTAGGCTACTGTACCATTAGGAGGAACCTATTATAATTAAAAGGATGAGGGTAAGACGTTTAGGATTTCCTTGATTGTAAAACTTTAGCAATTTGGTACATGACGTATTTCCAGTCCAGAATAATATGGCAACATTAAATCAGATTGCGGCGAATCAACCATACACGATAGAAACCAAATGCATTTTTATTAAAAAACAACAATGTGGGCGTGTATAACATGTATTTTGACTTGTGAATGACAAGCTGAGTGTACTTACCTTTGGCGTCGCCATGGCCGTAGTCTAGAAAACACAATATCAGCAGTGCGATAAACTTTTGGTGTTGCCCTTGCGTTTGATGGTGGTCGGACATCACCGTTCTTTAACGTTTCTCCTCGGCCGTTCGCTTTCTCAACCCTGAAACACGACAGTATTTAAGACCCACGATTAGATTAGTAAATTCTAAACTTCAACTAGCGCTACTACGACCATTAACTTAGGTAGTTGGCATAATATGTTTGGTCGTTATTTTAGAAAACAAATTATTCGAGCCCATTCGTGGAGATCATAAATCTTATGCCCGTATACATTCACATTAAACAAATTTTAATTAACCATTAGAATCTAATTAAACTAGTTTTTGAGATGTAAATTAATCCGTAGCTATATTATAATATAGTTTGTGATAATATTAAGTTACAATGATTTGTTTTAAACATCTTCTACCCGCATCAATTAAATTTGCTAGACATATTTTTAAGAAAATACATTAGATTCGTTTATGATATTTATACTGGAAAAATATAGGGAAAACAATATATTTTATGAATTAATGAGTTTGTAACTACAGATTAAGTATTAAAAAATGAAATACTTAAAAAATGTATTAAATAACCGAAATTAGTATCAAATAATAATTGTTGAATGTTCTCTATAAAGGGAAATATGAATTATACAATTTTATTAATATAGGTAATTAATACTGTACACGTTTTTACTAATACTCTTTCTATATTCGCAGGCATATGTTATAAAAAGGGCTATTTAATACGTGCCTCATACATCAGTATTAACATATTACATAATACTATGTTTGTTTTATCGTTTTATAAATTGTGAACTATATTCTTAAGTTACTTGCATGTACACTTAGAATACATCATACAGCGTGTTAGTGTAGTAGCGGAGTATTTAAATGTTTTTAAATAATAAATAGTACAAATCATATATGGAAATATGATATAAAATTACAATATTATTTTAAAACAAATAACTGAGTTTTATCATAAATGAAGTAAAAATACAATTATTCATAGCTATTGGCATACCTAATCATTTGCTACTTTGATATGTTTAGATTATCAAACATAATCAAGGATGTCCATTTAAAATAGTTACAGAAATTAGAATAGTTCCTGAGTAAGCAATGTAACGGTTACTTTCAGCCGCCAATTACCACTCGCCCTAAACATGCTTATTAAGCACTTGTCAATAAGACAATAGATAGGGGAGACAGCGAAGACACAACAATGCCCCAAGTTGCCGACGCATCTAATCAGCTGAGACCTTACCATCGCCAGACCACGACCGACTACTAGTTATCCTAATATAATCTGCTCTCTTTGCCACGTCTTATCGCTTTGTAACTTTCCTTTTTCCGCGTGTGTTGGCTCAACTCCGCTTCTCCAGCACCAGCTGACAATCTCAGGGACCCAGGTAGAAGTGTATTATAAATATCTATGTATGAGTGTAAAATCAAATAGTTCTTAAGTATTAAAATACTTTTTTTTGTATTTTGATTTTGTAAGTAGACAGCAGAATACTATATATTTCCAGTAATTGCTATAGTGTTGTTGAAGATGAGACAGGAATAGCAGTCTTCTATTCTTCCATTAGTGTTCCATTTTATTCCATTAGTGCGTGTTTATATATGATTCACCATCTAGCTTTACATGTACATTAACATGTGTGTTGACATTGCTACCATGTCAATGTAGTACTTAGCTGGAGTTAAGCTGTAATTAGTGTTGTTCGTTTAAGTCGAATCAATAAAGTACCATTAGCTTGATGAAATTTAATTCTGCTCTTGGCGAATAAGGCGAAAAACGAGTATCGTGTCTTGTAGTGGTAAATTTTATTTTCGACGAATAATCGCTTAAGTTTTGTACATGATCATATACACGTCAAACGTGTATACCTAACAGCAGCTCGAGTGAGTAAAGTAAACTCAACGTTAAGGAAAAGACACGTGGCGCAAAAATGGGATTTGCCGAAATCAAATCAAGCCAATGGTCATCGGGAAACCCATTCGGGCGAGAGGCGGTCATCAATCATCGACTTGGCTTTGGGCAACAAAAGGATATAGATTTATAACACAATATACGTGATGGAGAAAAGTGTCAATGTTGTGTTTAAGAAAAACGTAACTAAGTATATTATTGCAATCATACGGCGAAAAGTCCAGAAAACAATAACTGAACATCGCCAACGCGACCGAACCGTACTGAAGTTATGTCAGGGCACTCGAAATGTAATTCCAATATTGACACGTTGAGCTGAAATGTATTAAAAGTAATAACGGTGTAATGAATAGTGACATTTTCTAGCAAGCCTTCTGTCATATATACCTATACATCAATCAATACTATTTACAGAATCGCCAACACACAATTTTTAAGTTACAGCCAATATAGATCACGAATAATATATATTACCATATGTATTGATAGTTGACAAAAAAAAAAACACCCAAAATCACATAAAAAAAAAAAATCAAATCAATAGTTGTTGAAAAAATAATATAGTAGTTATTTTTAATAAGCGAAACTTTAGAACGACCTTTTAACTGTTAACTTAATATTTTTATGATATTAAAAAAGTTTTTATTAAATTAATTTAAAACTAATAAAAAAAACTTTGCCTAGCTTTAATCTTATATATTTATATATCATAAACTCTGTTATTATGTAATATTTTAGTTTGGTCACATATTATTATATTATGACAAATAAATTCAACATAACGTTTAATAATTATAGCGGAAGCTATACGAAATGAAAAATGTCACTGGCTGAGGTTATTTATTAGTAATATGTATTTCAAATGCAATGTATTCTTTCATGCCTCTCTGTGTTTTATCTTAGGTTCCAAGACAACGCACTATACAACAAATACAAAATGTATAATGATGTTTTACGAGTATTAAGTGCTACGGTATTGCCATTTAAATTCCATTTGCGAATATGCCCAGGAACTTGGATTCAACCAGCCGGATTGTGTTTGTTTAAAACAACGTCCCAGTAAATCTGTCGGGGGGTGGATCTTTGTGCATTAGTTACTGAACTGGACAGACCATTTGAAATATACGACAAGAGCGACGACGTCGGACCCAACAATGAGTGTTTACAGCCACAACGACTTCTCTGCTGCTGCTGCTGTTGGCCCTTATGCTGGTTTAGTTGCTATCTCTCTTACCTAAACTTCTTAAATTGCCGCTTTTTGCCTACCGGTACTTAAGAAAATCCACTAAAGCCACTCTGAAAATCAATGGTCACTGTTTTGAAAACAACCTCGCGTGGACTCGCGAAATCTTTTCAAACTAGTCAAATGTACAACGTGACATAGCACAGTTGTATTTTCTAAGTAGTTTTCGAACAATTTTTGATATGTACGACTATGAAAGTAGAGGTATTATTATTATTTTTTGAATATTATCTAAATAGCTTAACATATTATCCGACAAAAGCCAAGTATGTATTATTATTATTATTTATTAAAGTTTAAACTTCAGAAATGTCATATTGTAGGGTAGGGCGTAGATTATTATATAAACCACGTTGTGTCATAAAACTTTTCATTTCTATTATAATAGTATCTCGTCGGTACAGCTAGTTTTAGTAACTTTTTTTATGACTAATACAGCAAAATAGAAGTTTCAACGTTATTAGTGTCATTAACTGTTAATTAATTAGCTTTTATTACTGAACGTAAACCCACAATAGATAGTTTTTAACTATAGAATATATGGAAATATATCAGAAGAGCGGAGAAAATATAAAAACAGGGAAATCTGACAACCATTATAGAAAATGAAAAAAAAGAAGATAACAAGAAAAGAATACTATTGTTACAAGGTTCACAGATCGCATCTCCAGAATAACAAATAAATTCAAAACCAAAACGGTATTCAAACCAAATATAATAATTGGACCGTCATTCCGAGACCCAAATGATAGGAAATGCAAACAAGGTGCTTATAAATACCATTCACATATGGGAAATTATACATTGGACAAACTCGAAGATCAACAGAGATGAGGATAAAAGAACACTAAGAGATTAGGACTACAAAATAATAGACAAATCTATGGTAGCCGAACATGCAAAAAACAGCGTACATCGCAATGGGCCGTAATGGGTCATGTGTGACCCATTACGACGCCAATTGATCGAGAAACTCGGTTGCAACTATGGACATATAAATACCGGTAGCAATTAAGCGATGCTATAATTACTCAGTATAGTTGCGAAAATAGAGCGGTGACTATCTCTCTGAAGACGGACCATGCATTCGGTTCGAAACGTCAAACTAATGACAACATGGCTGGATCTAAAAATTATCAAATTAAAATGTATATAAATTTTATCCACTATCTGTCAGATAAATTATTTTAATTTAAAGTTGTTTGATTTTTATTTTTTAAAAATAAACCAACAGATGCAACTAACCTAGTCACTGGAATTGTATTATATTATAGTATTCACGTTCCCTAGGCAACGGCCAAAGATGTATGAATTGTTCGTCTAAAACACTAGATGTAGAAATAACTTTCCATCCCTTCGCTCTACGACCCTAATTGTTTTGGAAGTTTAGGATGCTGTTTTGCCCTTTCATAAAAGTATTCAATTCTAAAAGTCGCGCAACCCGTTTTCGAGATTTTGGCGTTGTTGCACATTTTGATAAAACGAGATCATAGAAACATTTCAAATGCCAGAAGTATTCTAAGAAAAATATTGTTCAAGAGCACAAATTATTACTTGACAACGAAAGTATTTTGTAAACACAAAACATATTCCTACAGTTAAGACCATATCAGTCGTTTGATTAAACTTTATAAATGCTATGACAATATAGGTACATAACCGATCATGTGGATACCTCACACTATACCAAGAACCACTTTTAATTTGTTCACGCCGTCAAATGATGTTTTATTTTTGCCCAACGAGATCCGACGTGGTATCAAGTCCGAAGATTTCAATTGGACAAGGCGCGTGCCAACGGAATTGAAGTACATGTGTTTGAATACCATTGCGAATAACTTCAGAAAATTTCCCAAAGATCTGTTCCAAAGAATCACTCCCATGAACACGGTTTACTTGACCGAAACGCTAGACACGGGTTTGCCATTATCGGCGGTCACACGTGTACCGGATGGCGAATACTGGAAACGAAGGTGCGATGACAATTGGCCGGATTTCAGTAAAACTCAACCGAACGTTAGCTCTTACAAAATTACATTCATAAGTGAGTTTGTATCGAAAACCATCGAAAACCTGACACCGGGCTACGTGGACCGAGCGGAATTGGCCGAATTGTTGACGGCTGCCAGCCCCTACATGACGGTTTTGAGCTGCTCGCAGTTGTGCATCCCAGGGTCTCTGTTGCACGAGTTGGACATGGCGGAAAGGGATGAACTGCCCGGAGAACCGGTCCACGTAGATATAGGTTTTGTATTGCGCCATTTGACCGGACTGCGAGAGGTGAAGTTGGTTTACGGTGCTAAGAGCCTCAACGGTGTGGATTACACGCCCGACCAATACAAGTTCAACATAGAAGACATGGACGTGTTGGGTCGTGGTCTTATCACAATGAACTATTTGACTAGCCTGGCTATCGTCAAGAGCGATTTAGACGTGGTCAAGTTTAACCGGCTATCGTTGTATTTGGTAAATTGTCCCGGTCTGGAACGAGCAGATTTTTCCTACTGTAAGATGGACTCCTCGGCGACAAAGTCCGTAGCCAACTATGCTAAGGTAGCGAACAATTTACGGTCGATTAATCTTTTCTGTAACGATATCAGTCCCGACGGAGTCGAAGCGTTAGCGTACGTTGCTTTGTGGAGAAGACGGAACAACATGATAGCTTTGGGACTAAATCTAGGTACAATAACCCCATCCCATTCCATCCTCTCATTAAATGAATACAATTACATTATTGAAACTAGTTTGGGTAAAAGATAAAAAATCATCAGTTACTATTGGAGTCGGTAATCAATCATTCAATGGTCAAAATGTCTATCTAAACTCTACAGTCATATTCCTATCGAATACAGCCAAAATCTCAAACATAAATGTTACACATTTTACTATGTTGTTTTAAATCATGTTCTAATACTAGTGTACATTATTTTGTTATTGTCTTAAAAGATTTTTTTTCTGATTAGCGTCCTGGATGTAATTAATGTTTGCTTCTTCAGGTATGAATAATATCAATGACATTGGCGCTCATTACTTGGCCTCTGCTATAGCATCGGGTATGCAACCGTTTAGTGAGCTTCGGATACGTAACTGTCGAATAACCTGCGTCGGAGGATTAAGCATTGTGCATTCACTCGAATATGATCAAGGGTTGCAAACTTTCCAAATAGATAATAATTTGGTAGGACCAGAAGTAGCCGTTGAATTGCATAAGCTGTTCCGAAATAATACTAACATAAAATATTTATCGGCTCATAATTGTGAATTTCCTTTGAAATTGGAAAAGTTTTTAGAACGTGTGGCTTTTTGCAATCTACGTGAAAAGCGTTCAACGTTAACTTATTTAGACCTCGAAGACTTAATAACACCCGATTATGAACCAATAATAAATTCTGAAGAATTAGATAAAAACAATGAAGAATATGAAATAAAAAGTGAATGATTCACAACATTTATTTGATTTTAATTCAGTTTAATCGTAATAAATGTTTTTTTTAAAACTAAATGGTATCTACTTGCAAGAAAATCTGGACTTACTCATAGTTTTTGTTAAAAAAAATTGTCGTTATATGATATAATTTATACAATATTATATATGGTATTGATTTGATAAACACATATCAAACAAATTATCGGCAATGTTACTGTACAAAATATTTTATCAAAATTAATTAATTATAGTATGGTTTGAATATGGTGTCCGAAAAGTGTAGGAAATAAACCTTTTAAATATTGTAGATATCCGATTCTAAATTAATTTAAATCTAATATCTATATTACAATTGTATATTTAAAAGTATGTGAAGGTATATTAATAAACAATTAACACATTGAATAAACGATGTGTATTTCTAATTAGAAATTTACATTCAAACTGATACTTATTATTGCCATAATGTCCGAGAGAAAAGAATACTATTTAAAGTCACAAAAATTAAAAACTTATTTGATAAAAAAAAAATACTTTTATTTTATTTTATAAAAAAAATACTTTTAAGGATGTAGTTTATTGTTTACAACAAAACGAATATAAAAACATGCATATTATTACGCTGTATGGACACAATCAAACGCACACATATATATGTATGAGTATAATAATTTATGTTATACATTAATTATGTACAATTGTACATAATTATGTATATATCATTCAATTATGTATTTATTATGCTAAATTATCAATTTATTTTATTTATAATATAAATTTACTTTGAATTAATAGCTTATTCTCTGCTAAATTCAAAAGAAAAACATGAGTCATCAAGTTCAATCACAGCTAATGACTGAACGGATAAAATAAAACAGAAAATGCATAGTTAATTGTATAAATTTACAAGTACTATATAAACTAAAACATAACTTCTACTTTGATACATTGTACTTATGTTAAAGACACTTTCTATTAATATTTCTTTTAAGTTTTTTAATAAGTATCTCCACTCATAATCGTGTGTATTGTTCATTGTAATTTCATTTAGTATGGTTCACAAACAAATATGCTTTTTGTAAAAAAGATCACACATCAACACAAATTTTGACTCAAGATTAAGTTGTAGATTCTCATTCTTTAGTAGCTTAGAAGCAGGAAATAAGTATTTTTAGTGTGAAACTTTATTTGTGTAACAATGAAAACTAAAATAATGAAGTTATTCGTCAAAAACATGCCTTTCGGGAAAAGTCTCACGTCTTGTCGAGTAGTCTGATTTCGATAACTTTTTATTTTTAAGTAGATAAAATCCTACAGAACTACATGGAGTATCTATTGTTAACGTATAATTTCTAAACTTAATAATAAGAGTTTGAAAATGTCCAACTCTTACACAAAGTTGATTTATGTTAATTTCGTTAAATTGAATAACATTTCTTTACTAAAGTTACAAGTTATAATTCAATTTATTTTTTAACTAATTTAGTGAAGTTAAAATTAATTTATTGAATCAACTCGTGTTAATTTATAGAAAAAAAAAATACCTTGTTATTATGTTAAAAACAGTCTATTAACCGTAAAAAGATTTGTATAGGAGATATTTCACGAGTCATAATATAACCATAAAAACGAAGTCTAGATAAGCAAGTATTGGCAATTTTTCGACGTTTCTTGATATACACAATCAGAATACAGGGTGATAAATTCAACACAACTGATAACCTTGTATAGAAACTATAGAATCCAGATTAAAACCAAAAATAATAATTTATTGGTCGGTATTATATGCTAATAATAGATATATAGCGGTAAAAATTACTTTTGATAATCACCGATAGTTTTTAAAGGTGCGAACAAAGTACAACGCATTAAGTTATTTTAAATTTGGATGTCCAGTCACTTTCTAATTAAATTTGAACACTTCATCACAACAGTTGTTTTTTTTAAATGAATGAATTCATCAATTGATCCTTTGTTAAGGGATATACGTTTTGGGAATTATAATCATGCAACATAATGTGCCAACAGTTCGGGACAACGATTCAATTACAAATAATATCCTGTACATTTTCCGGGTTTTGGGTTTGGAATGGCACTAATTTTCCAAAACCACATGACCGCAGTCGAATATCATTCCGGTCGTGTATACTACCGGTCTGTATATAATATCTCTAACTACAGCCTAGGTTGTTATATGTATGTACACGTAAGATAATCATATACACAAACTGTCGTGTATAATTACTTACCCACCCAACTTAACGCTACTAGGATTCTTTAAAAACAGAAAATACATATTTTGGATATATATGAAAATATTCTGCTTGAAAATAGACAAATTCTTCAGATAGTTACAAGATTTTGTAAAACTGGCTATGAGTAATATCCGCTATTTTATAGAAATTGTATAGAAAAATAATATACTACCAGTCTTTAGGAAATATGATTAATTTTTATTAAAGGTATATGTTTAGTAGTAGTCCTTTAGCGTACGCAATTTAACAGTCTTAAGTACGCTATAACTTTGGTAAATTATTTCAATAGCTTCTGGATTCTTTAAATTCATAAAAAGTCATTGCATATAAAATAGGAATAGAAACTGTAAAATAAGTATTATTTTTGACGGATGTCAAAAAATAAATTTCATCGCTGTTAAAATAACAAATTGAGGAGTATGTTCACAAGCCGTGAGATGATCTCATTACCGAACTCGCTCCGATTTTTAATTAAATAGCGAACGCGAAAGCTTAATTGAAAGCTTGATTAATTGTAACATTTATTATACGCCAAAATTAAATTCTCTAAAAGTACTACGTTATTGTATTTCTAGTATTTATAATTTATTAAATGCAATTTTAACATGATGAAATATAGCATTGAATAAATATTATTATGTATATGCTATAGAATAAATATGATAACAATTTTGTCATAGTTATAAGATTACATATTTTTATAATTCTACTATTAGCACTGAAGGTGACAACATAGTCGCTGTGAAGTACGTATTTACATTAAAGTGAACAGTTTTGTGGATAGGATTTTTATTTAATACACATTTTTCAGCTTCTAAGATTAATAAAAAAATATTTAATTTATCTACTACACTTATACAGTATAAAAATGTATTGGCTTGAAAAGTTAAAAAAAAAAAATCAGTTTTTACTTAGATATATAATACTTACCAAATATATTTCTTCACCAAGTTAAGTTTGTTAAATAGAACTCATTTTTTCTCCAAGTACATTACTCCGTTAGGTATCATTTCTTTATATACAATCTGCAAAATAAAAATATAAACTTCAATTAAAAAAAAACTAATTTCTATTCTTTTGCTTATGAATATGTTTTACACAATATTTATTCCATCGACATATTGTTAAACATCTAATGCAGTATACATAACCGCGTATGTATTTTATTATATTAATTACAATACTGTTGATGTGTCCTTTAAAAAAGCTTAATTTATGAAACATTAGGGGAACAGTTTTTTTAAAACCCCTGTAGGGAATAAGACTATAAATGTAAGAAGTAAATCTCCCAAGAAATATATAAAAATATGTTAATATTTTTGAGCACCTTTCAAAAATGATCTACTACATTTTTTAATAAAAAATAAACAACTTTTCCGTATCGTCAAAGCCAGGAAGGAAGTTGGAATAATTATAATAATAATGTCGTGTTTCCTTTGCAGGAAAAAACTGGTTTCCGGTTGAATTCTTCGTGGTTACGGCTGTCGTTGTCAGAAGTAAATTGGATACTACAGTGGACAATAATTTAGCGAAAAGGACAATGGCACAACAACACGCCTTTGAACCTAAGCTCAACATTAAGTTGTACGAGCTTATTGTACTACGGTGGAATGTCGAAATTATTTTACCTACTTATACATGTAGTATACATTACACAAAGAAAGGAAGGTAGACACTGTAGGGCAAATAGTAGGTGTATTACGGTACGCGTAAAAGTGTTTCTATTAATGCGCCGTTGTTCCAGAATCTCAAAAGTAGTGGCTCTTCGGGTGTTATGAGTCCCTTTGAACCGTACAAAAGCGGTATTGCAGCAGCGGGCGTGTCAAAAGGTCCGCGACGATTGTGTTCGTGGCATTTCGTTTACCGGCGTAGACTTGAAAAACATTTTCTTACTCTTTCATATTATATTTGTGTTTTAATGTAAATCTCGAGTAGCCATTATGCACCTACTGTACTGTCGTAGTGTCCTTTGTTAGCTCCTGTACGGTTACGCCACGGATCGTTTTTAGCGAGAGCGATGAAAACACCTTGGAAAACTACAATATTATGCTTAATGTCAATCACATTTAGACAATTGTCGGGAAAAACAAAAAGAAAAACCGAATAGCCTTTCAATAACTAGGTGTTTTTTTTTCACGGTTACTCATTGTTCGATATTTTTTTTTCTCGAAATAAAAGCGAATAAAAAAATAAAACAAAAGGAAATATTAAGTGTGTTTGTTTCTTTTGCTATACATTCCGTCATCGTCGTCGTCATCGACCTGACAAAACAAAAAACTTAAAGACGACCGTGTTCCGCCCATCATTAATTTCGTCCGGTCCTGCGTTGGTTGATTTAAAGTGTAGACGTCATGCAGCCGCCAAACGTCCATTAACACATCTGTCAAGCGAACACCTTTTTGGGCACGGCCGTTAATGCGTATGTATAAAACACAGCGTAAGACGTTGTTCCGCTGTCGGAATAAAAACAATATGAGTATAGATATACATATACATTGTGCGGGTTATATATTAATTGCTCGGCTTTATTTTTATATTTTGTCACGCCGTGAAAAATGTTGCGAAACGTTTGTTGTCGTCGAAACAATTAATTTTTCAAACGCCTAAACCGACAACGGATTAGCAACGGCGGCGTACAAGCGACGTCTTAATACGTTTCTCTTTTTATACCTTTTCCGTTTTATCCTTTTCCCTCCTCTCCGTGTATAATCCATACTTTGGGTAGTCGCACGTGCTTTGTCTTATCCGCCCGGCCTAACACCTAGCGCCGATAAATTAGGCCCAAAGCGTATATATATATATATTATTTTATGGGACTGATCGCCGCAAAAACGCAAATCTGACAAAGTATTTTTACTTACTCTACTTATATAGATTTATAATTACATGTAAATGTTACACCACAGTTGTAAAACTAGCCAACTAATGAAGTGGACAACAAGTTTGCTCACTTCACAAAATGTACCAAGAGTTCGGTCCACAACACTACTCATACGGTAAACGGTGTACTGATTTCACCTGATTAAAACTTTATATCATATTTAGCTAAAAATAATTATTTAATTAAAGCAATTTTGATAAAACGATAATGTAAATTTAAACGAACAGCGAGGTATAATACACTAATGACAACGAATACAGCTGGTAAATGAACACAGGTCGGAGGTCACAAGTGCACAATTTAATTGTAACATAAATTAAATCTAAAATAAAACATAATATTAAATAGTTGTTTTGCCTAGTCATAAACTGGACTCTTGGTCCATTTTATGAACTGAGTAATAATTTGCCATTTTCCCGAATTGAATAACTGCTCATCTGTAGTATATTGAATATAAACACCCAATTTCCAACTTAAAAAACCCGCCAAAAATTATATTTTTAAGAAAAACATTAACCTAAAATTTATATTATACTTTGTTAATTCTCTCGCCAGTTTAGCTTAAAAAATGTAATTTAGTTAAACAATACTAAAATTAAAGGCTGACTTTACTAAGCCAAACTGGCTAGAATGGTCATTAGTCATAAGTAAATTACAATGTTCATTTAATCAGCAGAATTAAGCGATAAATATATATTTACTATGATATAAGTCTTATAAAAAAACAAACAAATTTAGACGAGCTATTTTATTTTATCTAACCATGACATTCTTATAATATATCATTATGTTTAACAGAACAATCTAATAAATAGATACAACAATCAATTTAAAACCAATATAAAACATATTCAAACACTACATGATTCTTATATATATATAATATAGACTAATGTATTATTTTTTTCTTAAATACAACTATTCTACAATAATATTGTTTACATTGTTGTGAAGAAAATTTTATAGAGATAAACGCTACAATGTTTCAATAATAAATGCAATTTTAAAACTGTTTAATTAGTTTACAAAACAGTCAGTATTTGACTATATTGCCTATCTACATTTTAACTTTGACCTGTTTTTATCATTTCAAAGTGTCTACTTGTTATATTTATATAATCTGTTGAATTGCAATATGCGTTGAGTAGTTTGCCCGATAGTCTTAAATTAGTTGTATAGTTACTTGGTTCGTGGATCTTATATAACATTTTATAGTCTATAATATGTGTCGAACTATATTAATACTTGTGTTATATGTATTAAGTCCCCTAACTAGCATAGCAACAGAAAACAATGATCTGCGGTAAATACAATATTATTTATATAACATAAAATGTAATTATTTTAATTTTATAATAAATATATATCTATTGAAATTTATTTAAACAATGTTGAATTTAGCACAAGTTACAAAGTTTTGCTGCGATCAGACAATGGTCATATAATAGTATAATGTATTTTCCAAAAGTGCATATAATACAAGATTTAAGCATTTGTAATATTATTAATCAGAAAATGATTTATGTTAAATTTAATTGTCAATATATATAATTTTTTTTTCGACACCTCATTTTTGGTTAATTATTATAAATTGATTCTTTTTGGATATCCGTTTGTATTCATTTAATTATTTAAATACTGTACAATTGGGCATCATATACCACCAATTAATGAAATGTAGTTGTAGGTATAAATATGTTATTTTGATTTCACTTTCATACACTACTTAATATAAGATTACACGTTTACTTATTAAAATTAGAATTCAGAATGCTTTTACTGGTATTTATTATACAGATATAATAATCAGAAAAAAAACTTTGGACCTCTATAAATAATAATTTTTTAATAGTGATTTAAATTTTAAGTAATTTCTAATGTGGTCAAAATTTGATAGCAGCCTAGTCTTAAATACATAGACTTACTGAATGATACTTTATTATAACTAAGAATATATCCGTATCTCAGAGCAAAAGTATATTAAGTTAAAAACTTCAATTGCCGGGGTTTTTTGGTTCACCTAGATTTAAATTTCGCGCTCTATTCTCTGATCTAACGTGTACGACGTTTGAACTCTTAGATGGACTCATATCTAAGTTCATCTATTTAAATTAATTGGGTAAATTTAATTAATTAAAATAATTGAACAATTAAATAGTTAATTAATTGTTGATAACTTATAAATAATTTTATTGATCTTCCTGTAAAATTGACATTTTATGACTTAATACACTTTGCTCTTGGGTACGGATATTATTAGTCATAATAATACTATTAATCTAATTTAATTTCTATAATTTAAAAAATTATAATTTTACCATCAATTATCGTACAATAAAATTTTACTTACTTAATAATTGTTATATTGTTTATTTCAAGCACGGATTTAACAAAACTTTAAATTGTTTCAGCTTGCAATTATTAAAAGAACAAAGGTTACCACAAAATGACATACGTTTACAATACCATACAGAAGTTAAGCAAAATCTTAAAAAAAACCCACCAACAAATGAAAATATTACTTTGTTTAAATATTTAGACGTAAGTTTAAAATAATATTCTATTTTGTTCAATTTTATAGTCTCATATCTTCAATGGAGTTAGGTGTACTTAAAAGGTAATAAATAACAATGCATTTGTTTCCAGAGTGAATATTATGCTCAAGTGAGAGTTGGTAAACCCGGTCAAATTTTTAATGTTATTTTTGATACTACCTGGGGGGACATGTGGATTCCTTCGAAACTATGTTCCTCGAAGGTTGACCCCATATGTGGTAAGTCCGAATAGTTGCAGAATGTACTGTAGTTTTAGAACTAATGGTATTTTATATTTTATTGATGTTTTGCTTAAAGCACACAAAACTAAGTACGACCCTGACGAATCTTCGACTAATATACCTATTAACTCTGAACCATTCAATGTATCGGGATTGATTGGTAATTTAACATGCGACACCGTAAGAGTAAGAATACATATTATAATATCAATACTATTTCGACATTAGGGTTAAGCATAAGATATAGTACCTACACTTTTCATACATTTTTAAAAACTCATATTTATGTACATTTAGTTGGCCCACTTGAACGTATCGGATTTAGTTTTCGCCGAAATAAGGCAGTTTCCAAATATTTCGGACTATCGAACGATGTACGCCGATGGAATTATCGGCTTGGGGTACAATAATTTAGCACAAATAGATAGCGTCCCATTTTTTTATAAGCTACTCCAAGATCGAAAAATAGAAAAACCCATTTTCTCGCTGTACTTAAATCGGTAAGATGATGAGTTTAAGTAGTCGATTCGGTTTTTTTTTACATTAGGTGTAATATTATTATTTGCTATTACAACGAAAATCATAATAAAATACCTATTATAAAGTTTTACATTGTTCAACAGAGATATAACCACAAAGAAAGGCGGAATCATATTTTTAGGAGGAATTGAACCTAAGCATATTGACGGTGCCATGACGTACGTGCCAGTAACAAAAAAAGGATACTGGCAATTTCAAATGACCCAGTAAGTTATAATTAATCCGTATTGTATAATAAATAGTCTAAGTTAGGCGTTATGATATATTTATACGTGATATTATAAAATATGTAAAAGAAAATTAAAAAAAAAAATTAGTTTATTTGGATAAAACTATATGACAAAACCATAAAAACAAACCGGTTGCTTAGTCATAGCCTAATGGTCTACATGTTTGCTGAGTGTCGCAGTCTTGAGTTCTTCGAGATCCATTGCATTCCAGTTATTGTTTTGATCGAAAGAGATGTTTTGAATGGCTTCAAATTATTCTCAAAACTGAGATGATGAATGAAATGTCTTTTGTCGCGGTATTGATGATGTTCTGAACGAAAGATGTGGGCTTCTGATTGGCCTGGTCGATCGGAAGCCTTTAATTGGCTTTTTCGTTTACTATTCGGTACGGCGCTTGTGGTGGTCGTAAAAAGAACTGTTTTACTGTATTCTGGGCTGTCACAAGGTGCCTATATTTATTTCAAGATTAAGGACACAGACCATAGTAATAAAACATCTGGATAAACTTTTTATTACTTTTAAATAAGAAGGTTACAGTAATAAAAAAAATTGTATTATTGTTTATAGTACTAGTTTTTTTTTTTTTACTTAGATTTACAATCATAAAATACAATGTTAAGGAGAAAAACAAACTGTATTACTCGTTTTGTGATACTCCTTGTCAAGCAGTAGTGGATAGCAGCACCAACAAAATAGGTGTGCCCGAAGAGCAATGGGTCGCGATAAACGATAGAATAGGTGCTACACTTTACGACCAAGAACGTTATTCAGTGAGTACCTACTATTGCTGGCATTGGTTTAATATAGATGATAGATTTAAACTATGTATTTTTTTATTTAGGTGGATTGTAGTAAAGTTAATAAATTACCTATACTTACTCTGAATATTGGCGGTAGAAATTTTACTGTAAAACCGAGGCATTACATACAAAAAGTAAAACAATTTTTCTACCTGATTTATAGTAATAAGTACAAAAAATAAAAACAGCTTAATGATTTCAGGTTGAAAATACTAAAGCTAATATGGCATGCTTAACGACTTTTGTAAAAACAGAATTGCCTCAAAATACATGGACATTGGGTGGAGGATTTTTGTCTAGTGTTTATACGACGTTCGATTTAGAACAAAATCGAATAGGTTTTGCGAATTTGGCATCCGGATAGAACACTGTTAATACAAATTTGGTGTTTATTTGAAGTAGACAAATGAAAATAAATATACAACACTATTGAAACAAATTATGAAATATTTCGATTTTGTGTAAAGTTAATACAATGGTATACTACTAAAACATACTTCCGTTTTTTTTACCACAAAGTAAGCAAAAAAGGGACTAGGAAATTAGAAACGAGAAAAAAATTATCATACACGTGAACATTATGCAAAGCATAACCTAGAAAGCCAGTATTTATATTTAGTTATTAAGAATCCCTATCTAAAATAAATTGTATTGTAGATAGAGTTTCTTAACAATTAAATACGGTATGTTTATTACGTCGTGATTGGACATTTTTCAAATGTTGTAAAAAATATCGCTGATAAATACGTAGAATATGTGTAGAATATCCAAACCACCTAAATAATGGTGCAATAGTGGAAATAACTCCTTTCTGAAGTCGTAAATGCCTAAACTTTTAACATACATTATATATTTTATCCTCTTTGGAACCAGGAGTAGACGTTGCTAGGACAATTTAAGACGGGCAACATCTGGGTCCACCATCTGCCTCAACGACTTAGGACTTTTTAATATTTTCTTTACCCTATTACCGTTCTGAGATTGTTTTACCAAAAGCGTATAAAAAAGTATAATATATGCTGAGATGCGTTATTAACTTCGTAAACAGTTTTCTTTTAAATATATATATTTAATTTTCAGTCATCGGCTGTTATTAATTATATAGTTATTTTTTCTTAGTATTAAAACAATCTCAATTTCTGCACTCAACATTTTTTAATCAATAAAAATAAATAAATAAAGCGTCACCGTGAAGGTATTTTGCAATATGTAGATCATATCCTCAATATAATATTTAGAGCTTATGTGTAGGTATGTGTCACGTACTTAAACCCATGTGATATTCGTAATGCATTTTACTGTCCAGTGATTTTTGATATTGGTTACTGATGCGCGCTGTAATATCTTGAGGGACCATATTCTAGTAGTAATTAATTGTCGGGGCGCAACAACACATGTGTAAATTAGTATACTCTATGATTCTGGTTCCGCAGATAATCTGGTATCCTCATGAATAATTTATATTTATTACAAACACTTTACCAAAAATTAAATATAAATAAAAATAATCATCGTACCTAGTTGAAATTATTATAAAGCTCCTTTGGTTTTTTTTTGCAAAACAATAATTAAAAATCGTAAAGTGTATAATACACTTTAGGAGAATATAGAATTTCCTTCCAAATTTATAATTTGAACAAAATAAATAACATAATATTCTCATCAACTATGATATGTTCAATTAAAATACAATTTCAGTGTAAAATAATACGTTGTATTAAGTCTTTTTCATCTTCTAAAATTTCATAAAAAAATTAATTAATGCAACCAAAATAGTTATCTCAATTTGTTCTTCTCGGGATACAATATAGATTTCACGTGTAGAACTTAACAAATACCGAATGTACGTAGTTATAGTTTAACATTGAACCCAGTTTATGACTATATCGTACGTGGCGTTTTTTTTAAACTATTTTATAGAAAAAAGGTAAAGGGATAATAGGTACGAACCTTAAAAATGTACATCGTTTTATTATTATTGGGTGAAGCTATTTGTTTCTTACAAACTCTACACTTTTACTATTTTTCATTGAACCCAAAGCCAGAAGGCATTATCTTTGGAAAATAAATTAGATATTATAGTATGGTACATTTTTATGACCACAGTCTTCAAAATTCAATGACAAATAATGCAAGCTTGTATATCAATACGATACATAGGTGAATTCATAACGGATGTGTATTAGGTACTATTATAACCAGGGACTAATCGTACATTTTGCCCGTTAACTGCGATTCATTATCTTTGGTTTATTTTTTTTTTAAATGTAATTTATTTTTGCTTAGCTTTACCATATTTTTTCTTACACAACGCGACCAGTGTAGAGCGATCGTAAAATCGAAGGCTTTCACCATTAAACCAGTGCAAGTCCCCGCTGCCGTAGATAAGAGTGTCCGGACAAAGACTCCGGGAAATCGAATGGAGATCACGTGCATGCATATATATATCATATTATACGCACACTATATATAATACTCTATAAGCCTCTTAACATACATCTACAGATTGGAAATTCCAATAACCTGTAAATTACCCGAACGCCGTTATATATAATTTTTTTTTATGCAAATTTAAAATTGTAAATATACCCGGGAATATTGAAATACCATACAACATTATAATTGATACACGACTATCTTCAATCCTTATTTTCTCTCTTCTTCAGAAATTCGGATTTTCTACCTACGTATATATTATCTATTCGGAATAGACTATTGATTATTCCAAATTAGATCTATATAAAAATGTCCACACACGGAATGGCCATGAAAAATATTGACCGAGCAAGTATAATCTAAGAAATCAAATGGCCAAGGACATCAGAAATATTGTATTGGTACATAAATCAAACAGCAAATTACTTAAAACTTTTCAAAAATTTGTTTAATGTGTTACAAAATGTTATTAACAAAATATTGTTTTAAATATTATGATTTAGATATTGGACATATATTTTCAAAACATCTATTCTACATTAAATTTCGCGGCAAAACACCTTTAAAAAAATGTTTGACACTAGTTTAGAAAAATGTAATTGTTTATTTTGTTAAATATTTTTGACCCTTTTAGTTGTAATATTTTTTTCTATGACCATTTTTGTCGATAATCAATGAAGAGGAAGTTACCTAATTAAACATAAAATTATACTGAATTGTTACACCATGACTAATTAATAAAATAAAATTATATTCAATATAAATAAAGAAGAAATTGAATAACAACAATATAAGTACATTACATTAGTCAATTTATATTAACAAGCTGTGGTACATAGTTTAAACTCATTATTTATTTTTAGGCTATGTAATAAATTGAAAGACTCTCCACACCTTAACTCGAGCATTGTTTTGTGTAAATTTTGAATTTTTTATATAATAGTATTATTGTATAGCTAAAACACGTCATATACATTATGTAATATATTCCGAATGTGAGATAATATTATTATGAATGTATTTGCTGTTGCTAGGTGTTATTTGATATTTTAACATTAATATTATTAAAAACGAACATGTCTGAATTGTTAGGAACTTACAATAAGCGCGGTAGCGTCATCAACATAATCACTCTTCGAGCACACGTTTAGTGCACTATGTGTGGATCGCTCTCACGTAATGTCTAATGACCCTAATGTTCTATTAAACACTTGTCAGTTGCCAGCCAACCCAAGTTTTGTAACCTTAACAGCAATAACACATAAGACCACCAGCTGTTTTTGAAAGTCTAATAGTTTATTTTTTTATCTGTAAAATGCTCAATTATTATAACTTTTACGTACCGCAAGTAAAGCGAATTCGCCGGCCAAGTTCAAATTATTGCATTAATAATAATTCTATAAAAAATCCATATTTTACAATAACATACCCTTTCGTATACAAATTACAGCCTCCGTTTTGTATACCTATTTTCAAGTGACAAATAATTCTAAACAGTTAAATAAATACCAAATCTTCTCGCGAACCAACATAATATAGCGGTGAAGTTCGGGAAACTAATGAAATATTATATTCCAGTACCTTAGTCTAACGTTCATAAATAAACATCTTATGTACACATATGATTTACTAAAATTCGAGTAGAGATTTCTGGAAACTTTAGCATTAAATGTACAGATAATTTGGTAAATTCAACGACTGATAATTATTACTATTCAGCTAATATGTTTTATTTAGAAGAGTAAAACAAAATGATTAATATTAAAATTAAATTTTAAACGAGTGCTTGAGTACTAGATACTATAATATTGCGTTATATTTTTCCTCTCTTTTGGTTAATCCACAATCAACAACAAGGAAAAAATTAAGGGTAGTACTTTCCATATTTTTTGTTGTATCTTCTATTTTCGTTTTCCAGTTATCACATTCATTTGTATTCACCAAAAGAGTTTCAAAATTATTATTCGTACCGCTAAACTCGAATTTATATTGTTCCTACTCGTAACCAGGCTGCTTAGTTTAGCGTCGGTCATCAAAACCGAGTTCAATTATGCAAATATCGTACAATTTGTTCTTTCTTTCATATAATTTAGACATAAAAAAAAAATAAAAGATGTACAAATAAAAATATACGTTCTCTGTAGAGTAATACAATGTTAACAGTAGGGAAAAAACGCCACAAAATATATTTTTCGTAAGTAGGTAGTTTTATCGAGTAAAATAAAAATAGCCTACATAAATATATATATATATGTATATAACAATAAAATCATACTACGGTATACGTTTTCAGCCGGGCAAACTTAAAAAAAAAAATACAGTTTTTTCAATTTCAATGTTGACCGTAAATTGCTAATTTCAGTAGTTGTACTATTAAAATATGTACAAATAAAATCGCATGATACACATTGTTGCTTACATTTATCGATTTTTCATTATGTTTTACTACCCTGGTATTTTTTGGTAAGTGGAATTTTTGTGGAAATTTAGGTAATTATTTTGTTGTTTATCGCTACACCGCCGCCTGACTATCGATTCAATCCCTCATATACTGAAGTTGGTATAATATATAAAGGTATATATAAATATATATATAAACGTATACATTTTTTGTTTTACTGAAATAGTTTCTCTTTAAAAGTATTTTGTGTACCGTTTGGATTCCAAGAAGGTCTATAATGATTTTTTTTACTTTGAGTTACTCGATAATATAATATGAACTCGAAAAATCAATTTTACATCCCAAATTTGTTTGCTTATATAGCGAAATAAAGTAAGCTAGATAAGCTAGCTTGGATAAAACTAAATAGCGAAATCAAATTATTTTATCTCCAAAACTGTACCAAGGGGTTTGTTTATGATAGCCAATTAGCTATTCTGGTTATGCTTATTATTTTCTGAGAAAGAGAAGAATAGGTAATAATTCACTTATATATTATTTACAAAAAATATCATGACTTCTAACGTAGAAATATGTATAAAAGATTATTCAATAGTCAGGTGTCTCAATGTTTGTATTGTGTAAGTTTATAAGTATAAACGTTCCATGTTTTCATAATATAATAAATATAATCTCTGTATAGGAACATTTTTATTATAGTATATTATGCTATCTAGAATGAGAACTGCATAATTTCTTGGTATATCTCTACTACTTTTTACTCTAAAATACTGTTCCCTTTGGTCCTATTCATTTTACACTGTAACGAGTGCTGTTGTTTGTACTTTTTAGACATTATTTACTTCTTGGAAAGTTTTCTTCGCTTGAATTTTCGACAGTATACTCTTTAGAATCGGAAAAATAGCTCAATGGCTGTACAACGCTACAAGTTTTATACTGTAAATTGTAATACATGAAAATTGTTTACCCGACTTTCCATATTAAACTTGGCCTCAGTACAATATATTTTGATAACGATTTGTAAATTCTTATTTTGATAATATGATTCACACTGCTCGATATGATTTATGTTATAATTATAAGCATTTATTGATTCTAAAATGTCATTTCTATAGTAAACATAGTATTATGGATCTAAATTTTAAGCTTAAAATTTTTCTCATTAATTAAAATACCTATGTTATAACACTTTTTTCGGAACTACACTGTCGCATACTTATTATAGACAACACTTGAGAGGGTATCGTTAAATTGTCAATAAAACATTTACAACGTCTTGATATTTTAAAGTGTTTATTTATTATCTAAAATAAAAATCGTTTAAAATTATGTTATCTGCGGTGTATTAGTAGATGAACTCTTTAATTTTTAAAAAGAACACGTACGCTGTCCGGTGAGCTATAATAAATCTTAAGAAAAGCATTAGAGCGCTTCATTTTCTACTTCCTCCATTAGCCCCACAGTCTTCTGTCTCTATATTTTATAAACTCCTTGTCTTTTAGTAGCTCAACGAAAGTCCATATTTAACTTATCTCTGATTGCGAATACCGGAAGAAAGGAAGGAATAACAAGGGTTTCATGGGAACTTTGATAAATTAAACATGCGGGTTCGTCCGAGATCGTCTAAAGACCCACTCCATAAATAATTCATCGTTCCTTTTAGACGATTTAATTTTTTCTCCCGTTTCAATCGTATTCTTACATTATTGCTGCTACACTTAATGATTACGTTTTATGTAGCTGCGAATTATTAATGAAATTAAAAAAAAAAATTATCGTACAATAACATTTAAAAATAGTGTGAATTTTTAAAAAAAAATATATAGAAATATTGGCCCATATTATATTCACAAAACATTTGGTGTTATATGGCTTATTGCACATAGCGGACATGTCCCATTTAAAAACAAATTTAAAAAAATGTCCAATTTTTGATGAAATTCAGTTATAAAGAAGTAACTTTCAGTAATATTTTGATAAAGGTCAACGATTATTTTTACCATCGCTGACAGTGGGATTAGCAAACACAAATGTGTAACTACAATTAAGGTTAATTTATTTGTCTATAGAATCTACATATTAATGTGAAATAGCGAGGGTTATCGTTTAATTAAAATCAAACATACCTGTTAAAATTAATCAATTTTTTAAAACAATTATATCATAAAATTAGACAGTTACATAAAATGTATTGACTATATCCATAGAGACACATAAAATACTAGCATAAATAAAAGTAGCAATTTATAAAAAAAAAAAAAACATTGAAAAAAATGTAGCTTTCGGTGGGAACAAATAACAATCGATATGAGTATCAATGACGAATGGACCGATGCGATGCACACTAATATTTCCCTTGATCGCATTAAAAATGTAAAACAATTATTAGAAAATGGTGTCAATTTGAATACACAACTCCGTGACAGAATGACGCCGTTGCACTTGGCAGTTGAAAATGGAAGTCTAGAAATGGTGAAACTTTTGCTAGAGCACGGGGCAAATGTGAATAGTTTATCATATTTTGGAGAAAGCACTTTGATGACAGCCACTAAACGCGGAAATAAAGAGGTATGAAAATCTGTTTATTTTTTTTTAATATTGTAAAACAACTTAATTTATAAAATACTATGAATACAATTTCACGACTAGTTGCTAAAAGTAGTTGAGTAAAAAAAACGTGTTTAAAATTATTATTATGTATGATTTGATTTTTCATGTACAATTCAGATTGTAAAATTACTTTTACAATACAATGCAGACATGGAAATTAAAAACACAATGGACAGAACAGTTCTTCACCAAGCCATTAGTAAAGAAGATCATGAAATATGTAGTATTTTATTAGAACATGGAGTGTCGGTAAGCGTGATATCGTTGTTGTCATAAAACATTTATTAGTAGTCCTAATAGTATTTCATTTAATTATGAATTTTCTTTAAGTGTTTAGCGGTCTTATTGTAAATTTCAAAATGAAAGTATATTGATTATCAATATCTATAGATTTAAAAAAATATATAAAATAGATTTTGTTTTTTTTTTGGTAGTTGGTGCTTTTTATACATATTTAAGAACCGTTTAAAAAAACTTCGTTCATCTATTAGTCTGCAATAATTTTTAAGGTTATAGTTATTATTGTTTGTAACTTGGTTTGTTTTTTCCATAAACGCCTGTTAGATTGTAAGAAAACTAAAACTAAATGTTTGTTCAAATATAATATTTTTTTTAATGTTTGTAAGTTGAATACTATTTACATTTATATTATACACTTACTAAATAATTTTTGAATAAATATCTATTAAACTTTTTAAGTTGAATGAACTGTGCGACGATAATGTATACTCATCATATTACTAAGAGATATGACATCAGACGTTTTAACGTTAAATATTCAAAACTTTTGTCTGAAAGAGGCTCATATTATAATACATTTTAAAACCATTTTTTTGTTACATACATAATAACAAAATAATTGAATTATTAAATAGTAATTTCAAAAAAAAATAATAAGCAAAAAATGTACAAAGGAGAAGACGTAGATAGAAAACAATAAAATAAAGGTTTAAAATGCCATTAGAGAGCTTCTATTTATTGCCACATAATAGCCAACTAAAAAACACATTATTATCAATATCAGGCACCTATTGTCAATTTCTAAAAATAGCTTTTCTTTTAATAGAAAATTATTAACATTATTACAAATTTACATCATAATACAACTTGGTATATTTTTTTACTACATTTATAATGACAAAATGTATCACTTTGTTATGCATTAAAATAACAATTCGATACATATATAATGAAAATACAATTTTATTTTGTATGTTACCTAAGATTTATGAAGTTTATAAATGTCAGGTATAATACATTCTATACATATTCTTGAATAATGTATTAGTTCTTGGCCAATACTAATTCTTGATACATGCATGGTTGAAATTTATGGGTTATTGCACATCGTCTCGAATTGTTATCTTCGGAAATAAAATGGCAACGTAAGGGGATATCAATTTTACTGTGTACATGTATAATTGATTTTTGCACCCCTCCCTTTATGCTGATATATTTGTTTTTATCATCGAATATTTAATGAGGAAGGAGTGTATTTGCAATAACCTTGTATATTTCAATCATGGATACGCATGTGTCAAAACAAAAGTATCGATGCCCACCTCTGGTTATAGCTGTTGATATTAATGGGTTTTTTTTTTGTAAGGTTGGTCAACGTGATGTGTTCGGTGAAGCAGCCACGTACGCGGCGATCGTCAGACGTGCCCATCCGAAGATCGTGGACAGCCTGTTGTACGCCGGCGGTACGTTGTCGGATTTGGACGTTTGCGGACGCACGGTTGTCCACCGGTTGGCGTTGTCCACGGTCAGTGGCGACAGTAAAGCCACCGAATACGTCGGCGATCTGTTGTCTGACCACCAATGGTTGGCCGACTTCCCCGACGACGAAGCCGGCGCCCGGACGCCGTTGCACGCGGTGGCCGTCACCGGCAATTTGCAACTGTTGTCCGTAGTGTTGGCCAACAGCGGCCGGAAGGACGCGCCCGCTTTGTTCGGCGTAACGCCCAGCGAGTTGGCCGTCGTCTTCGACAACTATTACGTGGCCAACACGATAGACAGACACGTGGACGCCGACCGACTGATACAAAGACAGTCGATGATATTCGGCGCGGTAAAGCCAATCAGCAAGTTGTGATGGCCAACACACATTTTTCATTCTACCCACTGTCGTTTGCATAACAGATATAGATGTTGTCCATATTTCATTTTACAATAGTCACCAACACAGTATTATAATATTATTTAATATATGTATTTTGCTGAATGCGTAGACGTATGATTTATTAAACGGCGGGCTTAACCAGTTTTCGAAATAGCAATAAAAATATATTTATTGGAAAATCGGATTCGCGTCGAACCTAACAGTCTATTGTAGCAGTTTTATTTATTGAGTTACACGCGTAGTTCAACATAGTACAGGGTGGTAAATTTTTAATTAGAATTATTAGAACATCAGGGTTGTGTGTTGAAAATATAAGTCTACAAAAAGAAGAAATTATAAATTGAAAGAACTGCCCAGGCCAATCATGTCAACGATGATCCAGCCAGTAGATTAACGTTTGACATATTATTATATTATAGTTTGAATTTCTAAATAGCACTGCGCAGTTCATTTTGTGATTAAAACGAATAACAACTTTATTTCAACTATTCAGATTAAGTCTTGTATGCTCTTACATGACAGTTGTAGAGGGTTGAGATTCTCTTGGTTGGAAAACTATTAAATTATTATTCAAGAGGTAGTTAACCATTTTTTGTTTATTAAAATGTAAAATGTAAACAACTTCTCTTCTCATAGGTACATTAACATACAAATCCTTGTTGGCAATTCAAAATTGTTTCCAATTTTACAACGCAATCTAATTTATCTATTTTCATACTAAAAGTTCGTCACAAGACACAACCGTAATTCAAGAGATATGTGTTTTTGGAAAACTGTTTAAGTGTAACCGTATTAATCCATGAAAAAAATAAAAGATTAATTATTAGTTTGCTACAACGACCTATTTAATCAGCACATCTTTCATTCAAAAAATGAAGTCGAAATGTTGAAAAAGTCCACTTAGTCTTCTCCCGTCTCTAAAACTTTTTAATGTTTCGATCTGAAAATGCGCTAAAACTTCATAACAACGTCATCGCACTAAGTAACGTGACATTTTAAACCACCCAAAGACATTCAACCAATGGTTTATATTTACAATAGTCGGAACACGTTTTAATGTGATAACATGAAGTAAAAAACTAAAAATGTATAATATACATCCATTTGCAAAAGAAAAAAAACTTTATTTGACTATTTTATAAACTGTGTAACTTTTGAGATCATATCAGAAAACGTAGAAAATATGTGGAGATAATTTTTATTTGCAGCACGTCCTTCAATTGTAATGGCAAGTATGGAAAATTATATTGTAACACAAATAATTGAAAGTACTAATGTATGGATGCGAAATTGTTCATGTGGCCTAGAAGGGCTGTTTTTTTACTTTTTATTAAAAAAAAAATTCTACAGACTTGTAACAATGTAACATCATGTTTTACATCAAAGCCAAATAGCGGCGGTAGAATAGATGTATTTATGTGTAACCATATTAGTATACATACGAGTACATAATCATTTGAGCAACCGTAACGTTTAAATCTCCTTTAAATACAAATACATCAGAAAACTAAACTTTGGCATATATGCTCCGAGTTATTAATTAAACTTAACGATTAAAACTGACGAACGCAGTTACACACGCTTTGAAGAACGAGGTCCCGATTCGAATAATTATCTGTCTTGACAGTTTAGAATATTATTTATGCAAATGAATTTGTAGTATATTTATGTCAACTATATAAAATAATATTGTACAAATTCAATCGTATATATGCACATGTAATATGACTCGTTGTACGCACCTGCATCCGAATAATACCATGTACTATGCTAATCATAGAATCGCAAAATGACGTAAATAGCTCCTTCCACAAACACTGGGAAAAAACCTCCACTTTTTGCCCTTATTACCTATTGTAAAACGACAATAGCAGTCAGTTCTCAGTTGTCAGTTGCCATCAGCAGTTCTCAATTGTCATTCGTTTAATTCAGCCGTCGGTCGAATGCCATCCTTTATGACCTCTTGGTCACGGAGAGTGCGTTCGGTTCGACGACCATTACCTAAGTAATTCTCATGTAATTGTTTATAGCTCATCTCAGTGTATTAGTGTAAAATCCTCATTAATAGAAACGAAGTGTTTATCTATTATTATTCTATTTAATCATTTATTTGTTTTATTATAATTTAATTATTTTAAGATAGTCCGATTATAATTATCCTGGTTCACTATATTTCTTGGATAACGTACGTACGTAATGCTATCTGAGTAGTTGTCTTTGAGTGGGGTTAAATATCGACTCATAAGGTTGGTTGCTCTTTAATAGGATTACCAGATAGACTGAATTTCTAAACGAACGTTGAGTCTTCCCTCGACTAGTTATCAAGTAGCATGAGAGGGGATGGCCATAGTTGAAAAGTATAAAAATACAAACAAAACAACAGCTTGATCTGAGTAAATTATCATACGCTGAGTTTTTATATTATATATAAATACGCGTGTAAGGAAAACATATCAGTACCTAAAATAGATGACTGATTTAAATTAGACGCAAGTGTATTTATTTATTAAATCTAAGTAATAAATTAACTTAATCTACAAGCTGCTGCTTCAACATTGTTGCTTTACTACAATCGAGGTACGTACACAACAACATTTCACACATATCACAATACATAGTAGCGTAATGTAATAATTTTAAAGAGGTTAGGGTAGTGTAGGATAGCTCCATCAGCTTCCATAATCCCCTACCATTCTCCCCTTTAAATTTAAACCATTACAAATTCTACTAACGGAAAATATAAATTATTTTTGATTAACGTGAAGTAGTGTTTAATTAGAATATATATATATATATATCTGTGGCTTGGTGCAAGGAAAGCCAATGTCAAAATGTTGACAAAATTTGTTGATATGACTATGGTTTTTTTGTTCAAACATTTTTATTAACAAATTTTGTCAAAATGTGTGACGTACTGAAGGCGACATTTGTTCGACGTGCCGTTTTGTCTTAGTGCCGATAAAATGAAGCAAACACTTTCTGGTGACGTTAGTTGAGTTGTCGAGCTAGGTGAACTGTACCGTACACATATGACCCTGGACGCCGTAAGACACCCGGATTACTTCAATCGAGTTCGGGTAACTTTGATTACATATTATATTATTTTGAGGAGAAAAAAAATGTCTACACACCAGAGTCGGTGTCGACGAGTAAAGCGGATCAACGGAACGCGCATAAAAGACTGCGAGTAGTCTTCGCGCTATCGACACAAGCAGATGTCGATTTCCCAGCACACGCAAACACTATACACCGGTGCACAATCCTTATAATATTATGCCTCTTCTCCATCCTTTTGTCGTCGTCGCTTCAGTATTCTTATCACGTATTCAGTCTGTCACACGCGTTAAAAGTATCATAATATCGCCAACGTCCCAGGACTACACGCAACCCCCCGATCACCGCCCACCCACTTAGCGCAATCCCTTTTGACTATTCTTTGTGTATACGTTGTGTATGTATAATACATTACAAGACTGATTGCATTCAAAGCTCGTGTGCCGTGCTCCCGCTGACATTATAACCGTACACATAATGCTTTGTACGAGAAATAATAAATATTATTCGTTTCATCGCCGTTTCCAAACGGCCGCAACGACAACGTCATAAATAAGCGCACACTATAGGCGAAAATTCGGTGAAAGAGAATCGTATAGTAGTGGCTGTATAGTATATTATGTATAATTAGTGTAGCGAAAATATATATATATGTACATGAATTATATTATGACCACTATAAAATATTACACCGTATTCCGAACAATATTCTGTCCTCTCAACTTGCTCACAGGTATCACGTCTACGAATATTGCTAAAAGTTTAATTTTTATTCATCGTTTAAAATTCACATTATTTCTGTTTTTAATAACTTTTATAAAAAATTATTTCATTAAAATATTTAAAAATCTACGCCCTGTGTCGTATATAATATGTTTTAATTAAAGTTTCTTTAAAATTTTAAGACTGTATGACTGCATGACTGTATTATTATTATTATTATTATTATATAGATGAGTTATAATAATAATGTAAAAGAGTGAGTAATGTTTAAAATAGACTATTTAAAAAAAAACTACAAATAATAACTCTTCATTAAAATGTCATTAATGTTGTATGATTAAATTAGGATACAATATTATATTTTCACTCTCAGTCATAATCTAACGCGATATTAATCAGTTTTCACACGCAAAATAAATAAATAAGATAACTATATGGATTTAATTTTTGGCTAAGTGATGTTAATAAATTGTAAAACTTTAAACCAAAAGTTCTGGTTTTGATATATCATAATATAATTCTATAAAGAAAAAGTACCTACAAACATTTTTATAATTTACCTTTCAATAGATTGCATGAAACACGGCTTGAATTTTTGATCTGTAACAAATAATTAATAAAATAAAATATTTATATCAGTTATAACATTTTGTTAATATTCTATTGACAATATACCATTTTCTTAATTACTAAGTATTTAACCTACGTCGACTTTTTTTTTAAATTTTATTCTTTCCATTAAATAATTGGAATGTATTTGGTTGACGAAAAATTTAATTATTTTGCTATTAAGATACTGTGCAACGCAGCTTTGATTATTAATTAATGGGTTATTTAACAGTTCAATCTATGACTCGTCCATTAACACAACTGTTGGCAGTTAAGTTTTAAAACTATAAGATTTTAGTAACATTATTACAACAAAGAGGTTATAGCTATTTTAAACTAAATTTACAGGCCGTGCGTTATCTAGGATCTTCATGTATTACATCCATTGTCGTTAAAACTCTTAATATTGTAAGGGTGCAATTAAAAAGCACTCAAGACTGGCTCAGGTGAACTTTTCGACTTGATAGTTTGTCAACGTAACGTCAACCAAACAAGTGAACGACTCAAAAATGGTGGGTGTTTTTATTTTTATTTTCAAGACAGATATTTGTCCAGAAGGATAATATACCAGTGATCTCGTGAGTCAAGCGTGCGAGTCACGTCACGTCTCGTCTTATCCCAATCCTTCTGGTTTTGAATCTGATTAATTATCACCAGTACACTCAAAGTAAAGTATATTTGTAAACGAAAAACTCGTTATTTTAAAACAATAGTATTAGAATAGAACATAATATGATTTATCATAAAGTCCAACCAGCTACTGTATCGTACAGTAAATCAAATAATAGGTGTTGGGTTGGTATTTGCTGACTGTTTTTTTTTTAACAAAAAGACATTTGGGTAGTGATTTGCACGAATACACCTTCTCCCGTTGAGTGTTAAAACGTATATTCATTTTTGGTGAATACAAACCGCTTATCGCACTAGAAAACCCTTAAGAAAATATACTTGTATGTATAGTTAAGTAACAAAATAATAAAATACCCTTCACCACGAAAAAAAAATTAAACTTTTTGTATCATTATCAGCGCTACTAACAGACTGAGTCTTTTCATTACGCTCATAACAATTTAATAATTAAAAGGCACCTGTAAATTATATCTCGTGATTAGTGTTAAACTCACAATATATGTTTTTATAACATAATTTTATTTTACAAGATTACAAATATTTATCAAATTAATAGAAATTTAACAAAATATTTGACGTTAGAGTAATTTGTCTCTTAAGCCCAACTATGTTTAGCATCGCCCACTCATTTCCGTTCAGCTTATTGATTTTCGCTATTCAAATATTTCTTAAGTGCGAGTCCGCAAATGCAAACATTGTGATTATAATTTTGAAAACAAATATTATTCAGGGCTATAAAAGGAATTTTTTTTGTCCATGAACAAACTAAAATGTATTTAAATTCTTATCGAAAGTTTACTTTTAGGGCTTTTTACAACATATATTATAATATTAAAAAAAATAACGGTATTTTTGAATACTTGCTTAAAATTATTATATTGAATGTATTAAATTTATACAATATAATTTACTAGATATAATTTATTTATTTATTTAGTAATTATATCACTAAAGTTTGCTTACTAGGATTTAATTTTTTTTTTAGTACAATTCCCAAGGATTAAGTATACGTATTAATAACTATCAACAAGAGAAGAAAGTTTTGATTACACTTTTTTTGCATTGCATTGCTATTTCATCGTAGGCGTAATACATAAATATACTGTTTAAACTGCCTTAAATGCCCGCGGGGCAATAAACATTAAACGAAATATCTACATAAATTCAAGTAAGAAATGTTAGTCAGAGAGCTTTCTTTTATTTAAATCCAAGCCCGAATGTTATTAATCTTAAAAAAAAGAAAAGAAAACGCCCCGAAGTTGTAAAGTCCTATTATCCAAACATCTTTCGGTAGTCAGCTGTTTACATTTATGTATCATGCAATTTTCAAACTTCTAAAAATTAAATAAATTGTCTTAGTGACAAATAGTTGAGTAGTACTGGTGAGCATATTATGCAATTAATCTGTCTCAGCTGAATACCGCTCTATAAAGAAGGCAGCGATTTTTTCATAATATGAACCATTAAACAAAAACAACAAACATTTTTTAAATTATCTAATAATTAGTAACCCTTTATTGCCTACATAGATATTTAATTTGGGAAGTTTGCCTTTAATTATTGTTGTTTTATTCTTCAATATACATATTATTAATACGATTAAAAAACTGTTGTTGGGTTGTCAAGCTAAGAGGATATATTTAAATTCGACATTATTAAATCACTACTAAATTTAGCTTTAGAGCACGCTGAATTTAAAATATAATTTCAGCATCCCTTCTCATATTTCCCCAATTCAAGCAAATACAGCCAATTTCATACTGTGGAAAGGAATCGAGTTATCGGTCAGATTCATAGCCTGTAATTTATATTAAGATAAGGCCATGTTGTAAATACACAAATAGAGTTACTTAAAGATATGTAATAAAATAATTTTGAACTAAAATCTCCTTTGTGTACCTACTTGAAAAATTGTCAGTATAGCGTCCTTTTAACGAAAAAGAAAAATATTTAAAAATGTTGTTCATAAAAGAAATCTTACGTTGTTCTTAGTTTGTGGGATTATTTATAACGGGATAAAATAAATGTTTATGCGCATTCCAAAAAGCCGGTTGTGAAGGTATTTTTGTAAATGATTATAGGTAGAGATGAATAGAACTATTGTCAACGAGATTTGCCGGAAGTAGGTGACGGAAGCCGTTATGGTGTACCATTCAAATTTACCCCATCCAACTGTGGGCAGCAACAACTTGGTCACCCTACTATAACGAGCCCTGCCACGGCCAGCTTTAACCGTGGTTATTAAACCAAATTACCTGGATACAGGGGTAAGGCCGTGAATGCGGAAACATAACCACCCTCCTAAAAGCAACAACAGTTTCTATGAATACTAATTGCTTTTAAAACAACGGGTGGATGAGATGCTTATACGGCGACTTCAATGAGACCGTAAAGCACATAGTAGTAATTTATTTATAAGGAGAGAAACCGTTTTTAAATTAAATAATAAGCGAAATTAGTTTAGAAACATTTGCTTTTCAACAATATTTCTGGTCCGTTTGTTTTCTAAATCAGACTATATCGAAATAATAATTTGAATAACATGTGAGACTAAACTCCACCTTTTTTTTATTTATATAAAATTATTAAAACATAAGAAAACCATATGGATCAGATGTCTAGCTTATCTGAGTGAAGAAAAACAAATTCTTTATAAGGTATCTTAAAATATTTTTTTGTAAGTTGACTGAAAGTATTCAAATATTAGTATAACATTCTATAAGCATGTTAATTCTGAGTTATTATTTTAATTTATGGTTACATATAATATGCTATGTGTAATAGGTTTTCATATTATAAAATATAATATCATCAGACCTTAATAGTAGTGGTTTTCTTACTACTTTGTTTTTGCCAGGATTATTCGTGTTATTTTTTTTAACATTCCATATCTTCTCGTTTCATTTTACTTCGTTTGAACAAATAATATTATTTAGACGGCCGGTCAAACGAGCAACCACAAAAACCATGAATAATACATAGCAAAGGAGAATAATATTATAGCAACGCTGTTAAAAAATGAACTAGGAAAAGATGTTATACCATCTTCATAATATATCATAAATATTTCGGGCTATCACAAGAAACTTTTTAATAATATACGTACAAAATATACATGCTATCTGTAGAAAATCAAATTAGTTATTTACCATTGGAGTACGTAGAATATTTCCACTGGATTTCTGTTACGATCAATTGTATTTAGCTCAAAACAAATTGAAAATGTATGAGCAGTTGTTTACCTAATAGAAATTAGTTTTGAAAATTGTTTTCATAAAATAATATAAGATGAAGTATAAAATAAATCATGCGTCAATTTTTTCTGCAAAATCCTCTAACTAATTGACACAACAATTGACATATGTCATAACCAATGGACTTCTGCAATGAGTTCAAAACGTCAGTGACCAATTAAAAATATAGATACATCCAATGATTAAGTTAGTCATATTTCAATCCACAAAAGCTTTATGGATATTAAAAAAATTGTATCTATATCTAACAAGAACAAAATAAATATGTTTATTTGGAACTATTTTACGAACTTGACTATATAAACTTTGGTATTACATCTCAAAGTTTCTTTTATAACTTCCTCAAAACTAAAGTAGAAACAGTGTTAATTAACTATTTACCTCAAAGATTTTACATTTTCTTATTTTTATTTTTTATTATCTAAAAACAACAATAATTTTTTCGAAAAATATTGGATTTTTAAAAATTGAAAAAATACTAGCCAGTTAATACGTTTGATTATTTTAAATTAATTTTTTTAAACATTGTAGTTATAATAATGAATTGAAAAAAATAATGTTTTTATTTTATCGATTTTATATAATATGTTATAAACATTTAATTTTAATAGAGATTTATTTACTTGTAACTATTTCATAAAACATATAGTCAGTGTTTCTTTTTTGCATACAGTTTTTTTTTGTGGTTTAAGGGAATTTTAATCATATTATGAAATTTCATGGACGTTAAATTGATGGCCTGTAGGACGAGCAGGGGCGGTCATATGCCCGATGTTATGTTCCACACACTTTCTGAACACAATGGTATATGTTATTTTTATTCTGGACGAATATGAAAAAAGTTATAGAATTTTCAAAATGTGGCTGCTTTCTGGAACACCCTATATTATCATCCAGCTATAATATATCTCTATGTCCCTCTTGGGTACAATAATGTACTAAGTACTATTAGGTAAATACTTATCAAATAAAGAAAATACAAGCAGATTTTCAAGTGTATCGTGATTCACTCTAAACGTATAGCATGTATTTGACATGTATTGTTAATAATATTAGCATAAACTTTCAACAATCCCTCGATAACTTGTAAAAACGCCCTCCTGAACT